ATATATATACGGTGCCATATATCTATATATACAGTACCATATATATATATACAGTATCATAAATATGTATACAGTACCATAGATATACATACAGTACCATAGATATATATATAGTACCATAGATATACATACAGTACCATATATATATACAGTACCATAGATATATATACAGAACCATAGATATACATACAGTACCATATATATATACAGTACCATAGATATACATACAGTACCATAGATATACATACAGTACCATAGATATACATACAGTACCATAGATATACATACAGTACCATAGATATACATACAGTACCATAGATATATATATAGTACCATAGATATATATACGGTACCATATATATATATATAGTACCATATATATATATACAGTACCATATATATATACAGTACCATAGATATACAGTACCAAAGATATATATACAGTACCATAGAGTAGAACTATATACAGTACCATAGATATGTATACAGTACCATAGAAATACATACAGTACCATAGATATATATACAGTCCCATAGATATATATACAGTACCATAGATATACAACAAGTACCATATATATATATACAGTACCATAGAAACATATACAGTACCGTAGATATATATACAGTACCATAGATATATATCCAGTACCATAGATATACATACAGTACCATATATATATATACAGTACTATAGAAATATATTAAGTACCGTAGATATATATACAGTACCATAGATAAACATACAGTACCATAGATATATATACAGTACCATAGATATGTATACAGTACCATAGAAATACATACAGTACCATAGATATAGATACAGTACCATAGATATATATACAGTACCATAGATATGTATACAGTACCATAGAAATACATACAGTACCATAGATATATATACAGTATCATAAATACATATACAGTACCATAGATATATATACAGTACCATATATATATATACAGTATCATAAATATATATACAGTACCATAGATATACATACAGTCCCATAGATATATATACAGTACCATATATATATATACAGTACCGTAGAACTATATACAGTACCATAGATATGTATACAGTACCATAGAAATACATACAGTACCATAGATATAGATACAGTACCATAGATATATATACAGTACCAAAGATATATATACAGTACCATAGAGTAGAACTATATACAGTACCATAGATATGTATACAGTACCATAGAAATACATACAGTACCATAGATATAGATACAGTACCATAGATATATATACAGTACCATAGATATGTATACAGTACCATAGAAATACATACAGTACCATAGATATAGATACAGTACCATAGATATATATACAGTACCATAGAAATATATACAGTACCGTAGATATATATACAGTACTATAGAAACACATACAGTACCATATACATATATATACAGTACCATAGATATACATACAGTCCCATAGATATATATACAGTACCATAGATATACAACCAGTACCATATATCTATATACAGTACCATAGATATACAGTACCAAAGATATATATACAGTACCATAGAGTAGAACTATATACAGTACCATAGATATGTATACAGTACCATAGAAATACATACAGTACCATAGATATAGATACAGTACCATAGATATATATACAGTACCATAGATATACATACAGTCCCATAGATATATATACAGTACCATAGATATACAACCAGTACCATATATATATATACAGTACCATAGAAATATATACAGTACCGGAGATATATATACAGTACCATAGATATACATACAGTCCCATAGATATATATACAGTACCATATATATATATACAGTATCATAAATATGTATACAGTACCATAGATATACATACAGTACCATAGATATACATACAGTACCATAGATATATATATACAGTACCATAGATATATATATAGTACCATAGATATATATACGGTGCCATATATCTATATATACAGTACCATATATATATACAGTACCATAGATATACAGTACCATAGATATATATACAGTACCATAGATATACAACCAGTACCATATATATATATACAGTACCATAGATATACAGTACCAAAGATATATATACAGTACCATAGATATATATACAGTACCATAGATATATATACAGTACCATAGATATACATACAGTACCATAGATATATATACAGTACCATAGATATATATACAGTACCATAGATATATATACAGTACCATAGATATATATACAGTACCATAGATATATATACAGTACCATAGATATATATACAGTACCATAGATATATATACAGTACCATAGATATATATACAGTACCATAGATATATATACAGTACCATAGATATATATACAGTACCATAGATATATATACAGTACCATAGATATATATACAGTACCATAGATATATATACAGTACCATAGATATATATACAGTACCATAGATATATATACAGTACCATAGATATATATACAGTACCATAGATATACATACAGTACCATAGATATATATACAGTACCATAGATATATATACAGTACCATAGATATATATACAGTACCATAGATATATATACAGTACCATAGATATATATACAGTACCATAGATATATATACAGTACCATAGATATATATACAGTACCATAGATATATATACAGTACCATAGATATATATACAGTACCATAGATATATATACAGTACCATAGATATATATACAGTACCATAGATATATATACAGTACCATAGATATATATACAGTACCATAGATATATATACAGTACCATAGATATATATACAGTACCATAGATATATATACAGTACCATAGATATATATACAGTACCATAGATATATATACAGTACCATAGATATATATACAGTACCATAGATATATATACAGTACCATAGATATATATACAGTACCATAGATATATATACAGTACCATAGATATATATACAGTACCATAGATATATATACAGTACCATAGATATATATACAGTACCATAGATATATATACAGTACCATAGATATATATACAGTACCATAGATATATATACAGTACCATAGATATATATACAGTACCATAGATATATATACAGTACCATAGATATATATACAGTACCATAGATATATATACAGTACCATAGATATATATACAGTACCATAGATATATATACAGTACCATAGATATATATACAGTACCATAGATATATATACAGTACCATAGATATATATACAGTACCATAGATATATATACAGTACCATAGATATATATACAGTACCATAGATATATATACAGTACCATAGATATACATACAGTACCATAGATATATATACAGTACCATAGATATATATACAGTACCATAGATATATATACAGTACCATAGATATATATACAGTACCATAGATATATATACAGTACCATAGATATATATACAGTACCATAGATATATATACAGTACCATAGATATATATACAGTACCATAGATATATATACAGTACCATAGATATATATACAGTACCATAGATATATATACAGTACCATAGATATATATACAGTACCATAGATATATATACAGTACCATAGATATATATACAGTACCATAGATATATATACAGTACCATAGATATATATACAGTACCATAGATATATATACAGTACCATAGATATATATACAGTACCATAGATATATATACAGTACCATAGATATATATACAGTACCATAGATATATATACAGTACCATAGATATATATACAGTACCATAGATATATATACAGTACCATAGATATATATACAGTACCATAGATATATATACAGTACCATAGATATATATACAGTACCATAGATATATATACAGTACCATAGATATATATACAGTACCATAGATATATATACAGTACCATAGATATATATACAGTACCATAGATATATATACAGTACCATAGATATATATACAGTACCATAGATATATATACAGTACCATAGATATATATACAGTACCATAGATATATATACAGTACCATAGATATATATACAGTACCATAGATATATATACAGTACCATAGATATATATACAGTACCATAGATATGTATACAGTACCATAGATATACATACAGTACCATAGATATATATATACAGTACCATAGATATATATACAGTACCACATTTACACCTACGCATTACTATGACAAAGTGATTCTGACACTTTTGTTGGAACATAGAAGATTCACATACATGTACACAGCCATAGAAACACATACAGTCCAGTCAAACTATTAAGGTACATTAGAAACACAAAGCATCATTGGCATTTGTAGAGTACTCAAGCAACATTAACAATATCACAGAAACTAGGACAGTAAATAGCACTGACAAGACCTTGGACACACCTATAGTACATTCCATGACCATCCTAAGTAATTATTCGATAAACATAGTAATTTTCTCGAAGTTAACACATTCTATCTTAAAGCCGGACCCGTTCCACCTGATTGGCGCTTTTTTTGATTATACGCATACAATGAGGTAGCCCTCTTACAAATGTTAGCCACCAAACATCGCTACCCATCAACCGCGACGAGGAGATTTCTGTATATGAACATCATTTATATGTATCGAGTCTGTATTGACCTACAAATACCAGGTAACCATATATGTCTGTATTCTTCGTCTTTTTTCAGATACGAGGAAAATAATAAAGATACCAAGCCCCCAATACAGGCGATACAGGTATGCATTGTACCCTGGTATACAAAGGTAAGTAGGTTCGTGACGTTAGGTCGGGAGCCTGGGGTGACAGTTTCTATAATAGGGACGCACTACAATAGTAGGGCGATAATTTGATCACAAGGCAAAAGGGGTTGTTAGATGCGTCCACCATGTGTATCCAGCTATAGCGATGTAGCCAGAAAATACAACCGCCGTGGGAAAGCAGGTAAAATGCAACACAAACATAAGGCTAGAATGGAAAAAAATAGCATCTTACCTGTATACACCTGCTGATTTAGATCCGTGTCAAAACGAAACCATCTGGTTAAATACACATTAATTTGGCCACTGTATCAGCTTTCTTTACCGAGTATGTGTTGAGTAGTGCTATAAATCCCAAGGGTTTTAATTAAGGGTGTAGTCCGGCCTTCCAATCCCTCTGACCCAGAAGAGCAGACGACAAAAAAAATGTTAAGATCGAAATTCGACTGACAAGTCCAATACACACGCTTGTTTATCAACATAGACTGAGCCTTCTTAAGCTTTTCTACTCCACAAGCTTAATGGTCTATTCCCGGAATGGACTTCCTCGTAGTCCCGACCGGACAGTATTTAGTGTTTAGAATGTTGGTAGTGTGGAGACTGTAGCGTGCTGCGTAAATAACAGTTTCCAATGCGTTTCGTTAGAACGATTTGTCACTTTCCAAAAGTCTGCCTTAGCGGTGACGGCCCAGTGTGTCGAGATGTGATAACGCTAAGAGAGACATCAGTAGATAAAGTCTAAACCCCCGAAGCCTTTTTTTAATTCTCACCTACACGATGGACGCCCGCGGACATATTGATGAACTGATTGGCACCGTATTCACAAACCGAAATTCCGAGCTCAATCGACCTTTACCGGCGTCAGAAATACTCCCTGGTATGGAGCTAATTCTTGCCAATCCTAGCACCAATAGGCCTTATAACCCGGCAGCATTCGAAGTACTTCTTCAAATACCCTGATTAGTTATAATGTAGCTCGCGGTTTCAGCCACGCGACAGTGAAGTCTTAATACGCTTATAGCTGAGTAGACCTTTTAATGAATCCTGGGGCTGTTGTGTTAAAGGAAACCCTTTAGAACAAGTCCGTTAGGGATTGACTGTCACAGACAGAGGTACAGTTGGCGCATGCTTGCTTTGGGATCTATAGATCCTGTTTTTGTGGTGTGTCTCGCGTGTTGCACACTGGTAAGAAGTCCAGTGAACTTTCAAATACATCTATTTGAAGCGATACGTGGCGATGCTGATGGGGGCCGCGAGCTTGGAATGCTGGAACGGTCGCTAGACGTCCCTGACACAATCACAGACGGCAGATAACCAAACACTGCACTGTGGTTATAGGTGATGTTATCAGGCACTGCACTGTGGTCCTAATTGAAACAAAATCGTCGTATTATTTGTTTTTATCCAAAATCACAATAAACGTGCTTTCGTATTAAACAGAAGTGTTGGGGACATGTAGAAGTATCACAAGTCTATATATACATGTATATCCACAGAATGTCAGGTCAAATCACTGCAATGACCGTCTTTGTAGCCTACTCCTACCACATGGGGTTTATTCTGGGAGGCGTGTCGTCTGCTGACCGGTTGTGAACCAGCTATAGATGTCCTCTACAATCTTACTGAGCAGACGACAATAACAGGGAACAATCATCCAATCAAATCCAAAGCCTTAAAAAATCCGGAATTAGTCATGCGGAACAGACAAACAATTGTCCCGGTTTAACATCACTTTTAATTTCCCAGTGAAATGTAAAATTTCTGTAAACACGGTTTTACCCATCCAGTTTAAAGGCCACACACTTGTCATTCGTATATTACGAGCCATGTACGGAATTTGGTCATGCATTATATTGTCCTGGTCTCCCTGTAACAGTACGGCGTACCCCTGTAGTTAATACAGTTATTCGGTTCACAAATGTTGTCGGTATTCAAAGCAATACAAGTGATTAAGTGACTTAAGGCCTTACAGCCCATCAGTATATACAGTACTTCATATAATACTGTAAATTACATAGAAGATAGCACGATGAACAGTACAAAGTGGAGCACGAGTTATATAATTTTGGTTTGTAGCTTATTTGCGTCAAAAGTGAATTTACCAAGAAGACATATTTCTTTCGCATAACTAACACATAATAGTTTTATAAATTTGAACAAAGATGTTTTTTTCCAAAAGTGCTGTTTTATATAATGATTTCTTAAATCTTTTATATAGATGTCACACACCAAAACAAAGTGATAGTCAATTTTAACTTTTATAGTCGAATTTAAAAAAAACACCAGTATCTCTCATTTCTTACAATATTTTTAAATCTACCAGTTTTATTGCTAGAAGATGAAATGTACAGACAATCATTGTTTTGTTAAACTTAATCTTTATTTCTTAGGAATATATTTGGTTAAATAAAACCGTATTGAGAAATTGTCTACAATGTGTTTGCATAAAAAAAAAAACATTTAGAGGATTTATCAAATACAAGCCTCTTAAATATTGTTGTCTTTCGTCGAAAATTCCTTGACATTTACAAGGTGAAAATCGATAAGGTTATATTCGGATTAATGTATTTTGCATACAAAGGAAGCTTTGATTTTGACTGAGGGGTCTCCGTACCACTGCCAAAACGTCACAATGCACTGAAAATAACTTTCCAACATAACAATAGTTTTAATAAATAGTATCTGAAAAGACAATCATACCTTATGAAACTTTCGTAAAAGAATATTAAATATTGAAATATTGAAATATATAACAAAATCAATAACAGTGTTTTGAGTGTAAAACAAATATTACTGGGACCAGTATTCCAAACTCTATACACTTTATCTAGTTTAAAACAATTATGAAACAAGTTATTTCAACATATATTAATCAACCAGGATATAATTAATTGATTGATTGTTTTAACGTCCGCTTAACTACCGAGTAGTTCGGTTATCCAGCAGCGAAGCCCGGATGTAAGCGCGCTCGGGGTGTTAATGTGGGAGGAAACCGGAGTACCCGGAGAAAAACACGTGGCTATGCAGTTGACCCCATACCTTGTCACGTCCGATCGGGAGATCAAACCCCGGCTACCTTGGTCAAAGGTAAGTGCGCTATCCACTGCGCCACCCAACCACCCAAACCTTAGACCTCCAACTGAGCTACATGCTACTGACCAACGGTTGTTTTAAGTTTTAAGTTTAAATCAATTTTATTGCAACAAAAGACAAATGGATTGGACAAAAGTTATTGCAACTTACTTACGTCCTTTCCGTAACAGAAAATATATATACAAAATTAATGAGTCACGTAATAACCTAATACAAATTCATATATGTATATATATATATAAGATGTTAAAGATGGATAACAGCAAAAGAGGTAATGATAGGATTAGGGACACCAACGTATAGTTTTTAAATATGTATTCGGAGAGTTTACTTGAGATCGCGTGTGTGATTTTCCCAATCAAGTCGGCGTAAGTAGTATAACTAATCTATACATACATGTCCTTCTGCTTTTCTAAAGTTCAATCACATTCCGTGCCGCATTTGCCTTTCTCCTGTGTCACTCCAAGTCCTTCTGTGAATTCCTGCCTTACATACTTAGCCGACTAGATTAGGAAAACCGAACACGCACTCTTTGTCATATGGAAACGGTTATGATATTGATGGACGCTAAGATTGAAGTTAGTACACAGAGATCGTTGGTGTTGGAAAAAGGGAGAGGGGCTGGAATAAGAGAGGAGGTGGAGGGGAGAGACAGATGGGAATAGTCGAAATAGGTATCCTGGTTATTCAATAAGACTATTGGGTATTACATGTTAAACCGTTTGGAGCTTAAAATGAACAGTTGTACAGACCTACAAATTTGAATGTTTAGATTGTAGTCAAGGTTTGCATCTCCGAAGAGAAGGTGTTCAACAGTGATCTCGTTATACCAATCGAGGGATTGGAGCATTATATTACGGGATTGATCAAATTTTTTACAATTTAGTAAGAAATGGGAAGAGTCTTCCGAGTCATTTCCGCAGTCGCAAGTAGAGTTGTCTCGAAGGTGGGCTTTAAAAAGGTCGTAATTTAAAGAGCTACTGCGGTTTCGTAATTGGCAATGTATAATATTTACTTTTCTGGACCCATATTCAAGAAAACATTTAATATAAGAAGGGGTAGTGACTTGGGGCTGAATAAGAGATTTAAATTGTTTAATGGATGCTGATGACTTTGTTTCTATAGATAGATTGTTCCAGTAGTCTGAAGTACTTGGTATGAAGGATGATTTTGTGATTTGCAGTCTATAGTATGGGTTCTGAAAGTTATTCCTGTTTCTAAGATTATAGTTAGAGAAGTTTGACACAATAGGTGGTAGAAGAGATTTAAGAAATGAGGGAGCATTATCATGATAAATATTATAAAACATGGATAATTTTCTAATCCTGCGTCTATCTATCAATGATTTCCATCCGAGCTCTCTGTAAATAAATTCTTTTTTTGTATAAATAGGTAATCCAGTTATTATTCGACCTGCTTCATACTGCATGTTCTCTAATTTATTCGAAAATGTGATATTACAATTGTCCCATACTTCGCAGGCATATTCAAATAGTGGTCTTATAAAAACAAGGTATATTTTTTCCAAGTTTTTTCTATTTAGGATGTATTTTAATTTCCTTAAAGTTGCAATGTACTTTGTAGTGTTTGTTAGTATATGTTCGATGTGAGAGTTCCATGTGCCGTTGTTACTAATAATGACTCCTAGGTGTTTGTGGTTTTTAACAATAGGGATAGGTGTGTTGTCGAAAAGAAATTGTGGGTTAGAAGGTATATTTGTGTTGGAAATTAAGAGAATTTCGGTTTTATTTGGGTTGAAATTCATTAACCATTTATTTGACCAAAGGTTTAATTGTTCCATGTCGTAGTTTATAACTTGTTTTATATCGTGTAAATTTTTCGAAGAGTGTGCTAATGCGGTGTCGTCAGCAAAAAGTCTAGTCATTGATAGTAATGTATTTGAAATATCGTTGATGTATACAAGAAAAAGAAGTGGCCCTAACACTGAACCTTGAGGAACTCCGGCTTTGATAGATACTTCAGAAGATATAGCATTTTTTAGTACCACTGACTGGCGTCTGTTACTTAAGTAGTTTTTAATCCAATCTAAAAGTTTGCCTTTTATCCCGTATTTTTCTAATTTAATTAATAGACCTTTGTGCCAGACTCGGTCAAAAGCTTTAGAAAAGTCACAAAAAACAAGAGCAGTATATTCACGATTCTCCAGTGCTGTAAGTATGCTATGATAGAGTTCGATGAGTTGGTGAGTTGTAGAGTGATTTGGTAAGAAGCCAGACTGTAAAGTATATAGAAGTTTGTTGCTGAAGAGATAGTTATAGATGAGCTTATGAATTATTCGTTCGAAAAGTTTGCCAATGCAGCTAAGTAAGGAAATGGGTCTGTAGTTATTTGCCAATTCAGATTCCCCCTTTTTGAAAATAGGTGTCACATGGGCAAGTTTCCATGAATCAGGAAATACAGAAGTACGAAAGGATTCGTTGAATAGAAGTGTGAGGGGTGCAGATATTTCATTGGATACCATTTTTAACATTTTATGACTGATGCCGTCAGGACCAGCAGCTTTATTAGTGTCTAAAATATTGATTATATCTAAAACCTCTTGTTCTGTTATTACAATTTCAGTAAGGGACGCGTCTGTTTGGTTGTCAAAATAGGGTGTATCGTCGTTATGGTCATCAAGGTCAGAAACAGATTTAAAGAAGTTATTTAGAATATTGGATTTGTCATAGTCGTCTGTGGTTAAGCGGTTATTTGTAGGGTTAAGTAAGGGAGGTATATCGGTAGAAATGTTACCTTTTAAAAGCATACGCATTAGTTTCCAGTATGCTTTAGGATTAGCTGAACTATCATTGATAAGTCCATCTACATTTGTATAAAAAAGTGCTCTTGCATGCTTCAGCATATTATTTACTTTATTTCGTGCACGTTTAAATTTAGCTTCAGACAATGGGGTTTTAACTCTGATAAAATGTTTCCTTAACCTGTTTCTACGTTTAATTTCTTTTCTTATATCTCCGTTCATCCATGGTTTGTCGTTTTTATTAACAGTAACAATTTTTTTAGGAATATGCTTTTCTAAAATAGAAATTATTTTGTCAGTGAACAGTTTACATTTTTCGCTTACATTATCCGCATGAGAAAACAAATCTAACCAATTTACCTGTCCTACCTCTGTTTTAAGATTTAAGATATCTGCTCTGTTGTATAACCATATTTTCCTCTTAAAAGACTTTGGTTTTGGTAGACATGACGACAATGACACAATTATAGCTCTGTGGTCACTTATAGCTTCTAAAACTGGTACAACAATGGATGATTCGGAGGATATAGTATCACTGATGTAAAACGGGTCTATAAGGGATTGTGTAGTATTTGTAACTCTAGTTGGACTGGTAATCAGGTTAGTTAGATTATATTGCTGTGTTAGAATGCTAAGATCATTGTTATTTCCTGTTAATAAGTCAATGTTAGTATCCCCTGTTAATATAACATGAGGAGTGTAGTCAAAAGCTATGTCAAAA